ACACACACACACACACACACACACACACATATATGTGTGTGTGTGTGTGTGTGTGTGTGTGTGTGTGTGTGTGTGTGTTTTATTTGTGCTGATAAATAAATAAAGGGAGACTAGTATAGATCTATTTCAAGCTATTTAGCTCTCATCAGCTAGCCATACCCCCACTGGGATTCGAATCTGTGCTGTATTGCATCTTAGGCAAACGTCTTAGCCATTAAGCCACAGGTCTCCTCCTTATCAGGAGAGAGACAAGTGGAGAGAGGGGGAAGGAAAGACATATATAGAAGAATTAAACATATTCCATTCAATATTCCACAACAGTTCATACAGATGACAAAAAGGTACTCACTTTGACAAGCTTTAGGAAGATCTGACCATCTATTAATGTCAAGACATGTCATAGAACGAATTGTTCCAGGTATAGGCGTATAACCAGGGATACAATGTAACTGCAGAACAGTTCCAATACGATAGGCATCTGCTAGCTCTTGTCCTTCCTTTAGTGAAGAATGGGGAGGGAGGATCGGAGTTGGACACACACCTGTAGTTAAGAAAACATGGGGAAGCACTGAAGTAAAGAACGAAATAAAGGTCTATTATAGTACTGAAGTCCAACCATTCAGTTCTAAAGGAATTGAAACAAGAGGTTTCAAGTTCCCTGATAGAGAGCATCTTTGTCCATTCCTGGAAAACTGAGGAATGTGGCCCCTCTCTTCAGGAAAGGGAAAAAAAAGAATCCAAATAGACTGAAGAGCTCAACTTTAATATTTGGAAAGATGCTATAATAGGTAATAAAGTGGGCAATTTAAAGACAATACTGTGACCACCACTGCTTTTCTGGTAAACAGGAATGACAGCATTGCACTAATAATTGGCATTCATACCTCGTGTTAAAAACAAAGAAATCTTCCACAACCACACCACCCTAGTGCATGCTGAAAAGTGCAGAGCACATGAGTGGGCATTTGGCATTCTACTGTGAAAGAAGTTTGAAGAAATTTGCCATTGCAACTTGGAAAAAAATCCCACTGTGGAGGTTACCGGTATGTAGATGGATCCAGATTAGAAAGCTAGTCTTTTGAATCTTCTTCAGCTTGCTGGTAGTTGTGTTAGGCTTCAGTTCTAATAAATGTGAGAAACATGACTATTGTCCACGTCTTAGACTCTAAACACTCTGGGAACTGAAGATCAACAAAGCTGGAAAGTATCCAACTGAGAATTAACTTGTTGGTGATACATGCCTGCAGTTGTCGTTATCATTTTATTAATAATCTGATAAAATGTTTTTATCAGATTGTTCACCAGTTTGGTGTAGTGTTTAAGATACCAGACTAGAAACAACGAGAGCATGAGTTCTAGTCCTACGTTAGGCACAAATCCAACTGGATGAGCAATCACTTTCTCAGCCCTATTAAGAAGGCAATGACAAGCCACTTGTGAAAAACCTTGCAAGAAAACTGCAAGGAGACTGCCTGGACAAAAGAGAATTAAACATGACAGAATGGGAACCAAAAAGTGGGAAATGACTCAGGCTTAAGTCCACCTTCAACCATAGAAATGCAACATAGATGACTTCAGACAGTAAATCTCTTACAGGTGGATGTGTGTATGTGGTAGCCGTTGAAAATATTGGTCATGTTTTGTTTGATTGTCAACTATATTGTTATTTATTCATTTATTTGTACTTGCCATCATTACTTTTACAAATAATTCAAGTTGGTGAGAATGACTGTTCCAAAGTCATCTAGCTGGCTTTCATGGCTAAGATGGGACTAGAACTCTCTTTCTAGCCTGGTGCCTTAACCACTACACTAAACTGCCTCTTTTTTATATACCTGTTAGGCTTACGTATTTAACATACCTACTTGAAAGAACAGCCCAGCCCAGTGGGATCTTATTGTCCTATTTTTTTCTTGGTTCAAATATATATAATATGAGCAGATTTTCTAAATTTACAGTTAGACAGTCCAGCTAAGAACCCATTGCAATGAACATATTGGGGTATCCTGTAAAGGTGATGTCTGTACCTGAATGTTGATTCCTTGTATTCATCACATATGGTATGTATTTTATTACTGTATTTTCTTTTATCTATTTTACCCTCAAATAAGATCTTGTATTTTTGTTTTGTATTCTGCTATGATTGCAAGACTAATCAAGTAATAAAATATCAATTATTTTATTATATTATTGTTGTGGAGGACTTCCTGCAAGTGCCATTATGCCTTGTTGGCATTTGTTAGCTAGCAAAATAGCTTTGTGAGCAGAATTGGTGCTGGATGCTGGATCTGAGTTGGCATAATTTCTCTATAATCAAATGAGAGGCAGTTGACTCCAGACTGTACTCCTTGTGAGTAGATTACGACAACTTTTTTTCTATAGTCATCTTATGAGTGGAGTGGCTGAGAGTCAGGATTTACACAAAGGTCAAACTCTCAAAACAACTTTTATGGATACCACATCTGACCAAGTTTATCAGTCACTTTTTTTGGATTTGCCCACTTCATACATATTATCCTTTTGCCCTCACCATTTGTCTAAACTGCGAAGCAAAATGATTATAACATTTTGCATGCATGGGAGTAAATAATTTTTAATTAGTCAAATTCCTGAAAGTCTGTTATCCTTGAAAATTAATTACAATAGTTTTTACTTCAAGTTCAGAATTAGTAGGACACTTAGGATTTATAATTGGGAAACCACAGATGGAAAGATCACAACTTTGAAGAATTAAGCATATTTCATTCTCTGTTTTGTAACAGCCACTATTGTTGACAAAAGATACTCACCTTGGCAAAGTGTAAGAAGATCTGACCACTTATTAGTGTCAAGGCATATCATAGTAGGAATTGTTCCAGATATATTCACATAACCTGGGATGCACTGTAACTGCAGAACAGTTCCAACAGCATAGGCATCTGCTAGCTCTCCTTCTTTTAGTGAAGAATGGGGAGGGAGAACTGGAATTGGGCACTCACCTGTAGATAAGGAAAAAGGAGAAAGTTCTGAAGAAGAAAACAATGATAAAGACCTGTTACAGTACTGAAACCCAACCATTCAGTTCTGAAGGAGCTTTCAAGATGTCTATTAATCATCTTTGCCCATTCCTGTAAAATTGTGGAATGTGGCCCCTCTTTTCGGGGGAGGGGGGTCCCAATAGACTAGTGAGGTTAACTTTACTCTCTGGAAAAATAGTAGTTATAGTAGGTAATAAAGTTGAGCAGTTTAAAGGGATCTTAAATGCAATATTGTGATCCAAAGGCCAACATAGGTTTGAAAAAAATATAGGAGAGAAATCTTCTCTCATCCTCTGACAGGGTAACCATTCCACTGATGAGAAGGAATATGACAGATATAAGGAACCTGAAATTTATCTAAGTTTTGAAAAGGTCTCAATGTTCCAGAGATATCTTGAAAGAGAAATGTAATTTTATAAGTAATTTAATAAAGTATTTTTTTAAAAGAAGCTGACCGTGGATCAGTAGTGAGAAGCATTTATTAGAAAGATTAATACAAATCTGGGCTGTGTGAAAAAAACACTTATTAAAAGACATGAAATCATTGTTCCTCTCTACTTGGTACTAGCAAGATTACACCTGGATACTGTGTCTGATTCTGAATTCTACAGTATCAGAAGAAGATTGACAGGTTAGAACTGTTTCAGAGAACGGTAACAAAAATGATAAAGGGACATAGAGACAAGTCCTTGAAGAGAAGTTGAAGGAATTTGGGAAGGTCAGTCTGAATAAGACTTAGAAAACATATGATTTACACTAAAGCTATGCTCAGGTAAGAAAATTGCAGGGAAGACAGAAACTATTTCCCAGGGCCACAGAAATTAGGATAAGAAATACTAAAAATCCAGCAGCTACCTGGATTTAATTTAAATATCTTTTTAAAAACCTCCTGATGATAAGACCTGAATAAGAGTGAAACAGTTTAGCTGTGGAAATTGTAGGTAATCCATTTTTGGAGGTTCTTAAGAAGAGACTCTCATGGATTTTTTATATAATTTTCTTGTTTTTGCTGTGACAGTGATTAGATTATTTTTGTAGTTTTTTCCAAGTTAACTTTTTTTTCCATTTTCCTATTCACTACACAAAGGAATACTATTTCCCTTGGTTACAGGGGAACCTTAAAGACTTGAACTGAGCATATCTTTGAAGGGAAGGTCCAGAGTCATTCTGTTTACTTTTTAACATAGCTATTATATCCTTCGTCTTTGCTTCTGCTGTACAACAAAAGGTCTATGTGAGTACAGCCCTACCCAGAAACTTAAATGAGTAAACACACATTTATCAGAAAATAGTTTTTTTGAGTCTAGGTTTATGTTCTGAAATAGAAAAAAATAGAATAGAATTCTTTATTGGCCAACTGTTATTGGACACTCAAGGAATTTGTGCATAAACTCTCATAAGCTCACAAACAACAAACAACAAGTTCGCTTCTTGACTTTCTGTTCCTGTCTTGATTAGTGCTTGGCTTCTGTAACTCAAGAAACCAACTCAAGGTCAAGTGAAGAGGTCAAGAAATCAACTTCTTCCCCTTATATTTTTGTTTGTGAAAGAAGAAAAACTACCACCATCCACCCAATAATCACCGTGTTATCCGACGTAAGGCTTGCCCTTAAATATCTGCAATGTGTTAAAAGAGCCTGATTTAAGGCAAACACTCAACTCCATCTACCTTCATCAAAGGCGGATCCAACTAAAAGTCCGGCTGCTTCCGAACCTCGCGGTCAAGCAAACAAGGGGTCTCGGGTGCTGTGAAAGGGTGGCGAATCCACAGCAACCGAGCTGCCACTTTCTAAGCAGCCACTTGGCTTAATCCGGTAGGACAAACACCGGCGTGGTCTTCATAGCTCCCCCACTCTGTGACCGCAGAAGGTCTCGGTGATCCGCTGTGGCTGGCGTGCGTCGTTTCTTTTCTTTCGACTCAAGATGCTGGCCGCCTTTGCGGTATGCAGCTGGAGCAGCAGTTCTGCTCAGCGACTGGCGTTCTCGCTCTCGGTCCCAAAGCAGCAAAAGATCGCGACTTCCCGCCTGGTGGAGGGAATCTCGATTCGCTCCCGGCTGTAAGCAATAATTTAAGCCCCCCCCCCACTGCCCATTTTAGAGCCCGAACTTTTAGTGGGGTCTTTAAGAGGCGCATTTTACTCACACAAAGCCGTGGACGAGAATAACAGCAGGATCAAGGCCGGCCAAAGGACCTCATCGGAACAAGAAACGAAAAGATCCATCGCAGCAGGTGACGAGAGTCGGAGAAACACACTCCCGGAGGTAAAGATAGAAAAGAGCGGCACTCCCAAATATCACTGTATGCCGAAAAACGCACCACCGCTTTTCTGGTTAAACGAACGTGAGGAGCGTCGCGCTAATAATGGGAGTTCAAACCTCAGATCAAAAACGAAGAAAGTTTCTACGACCGCGCGGCGCTGCTCAGGTCAGGTGTATAAGTGCTGACAAGCGCGGAGCACCTGTTTAGGAAAGGGACTGTGTTTCCTTGGGCAACGGGAGGCAGGAGTAGGATGGGCAGGAATCTGACATCCCGCTGTAAAAGCAGTTTGTAGAAATATGCCACTGAAGTCTGGAGAAAGGAGGAAAAGAGCCCACTGCGGAGATTATGGAGATGGATCCAGGCTACAAAACTGGTCGTTTGAATCTTCCCCAGCTTGTTGGCAGCTGTGTTAGGCTTCAGTTCTCATAAATGTAGGTAGCATAACTACTGTCCACCTTTGACTGTAAACGTTCTGGGAAGGGAAGCAGGCCTAAGGAGAGGGGTTGGTGCAGACGGTACATTGTTCTGGGGCCTATGCAGCTCAAAGAGAGGCCCATTAAGGGGACTTTAATTTTTTTTTTTTTACAAAACCAAGTTTTTAAAAAGAAAAAACAATATTGGATATATACTTCATACTCTATACTTTATGTGTGTAGCAAAACCACCTTGCAGCCTTATTCGACATAACCTTTATGGGCGCACAACTTGTGCCCCATTTTGGGCCTAATAGGCTTCCTTGCAGTCTCCTGGGAGCAAAAATGGGCTCCCCCCCCCAGCATCCTGTTTTGGGCCTAGTAGACCTCCCTGTGCTACAATTATGACATTATTGATTTATGTGTCTGTGTAGATGAGGGGGGGCATATTAGTCTTGTTCCAGCACTTAATAATCCTTTCAGCGGCCCTGAACGGAAGACTGTCTGCTGGAGAGTCTCCAACTGAGAAATATTTTTTGATGTTACATGCCTGCAGTTATAGTGGTATCCTCATTAGCATTTTGTTAATAACCTCATAACAATTTTTTTTTAAAATCTGACTATTGACTAGTTTGGTATAGTGTTTAAGACACCAGGCTAGAAACCAGAACAGCATGAATTCTAGTCCTGCCTTAGGCACAAATCCAGCTGGGTTACCTTAGGCCAGGAGTATCAAACTCAGGTCATCAAAGAGGTGTCCTAGGTGTCCTTTGACGTATTGGGACTTTCCATCCCTTCACTAAACCGGGCATAGGCGACTTAAAAACTCTGTGACTTAAAAATTTATGGCAGAATGCAAAGTTAGCATGAGTCACAGCATGAGTATTGTCATTTTGTCATTATTTTTCTTATGAATGTTGGGATCCCCTAAAATGATAAATTGATTTCTGTAGTTTCCCCATTAATAAAATTCAGGCTACCAAACATAGCCTGCAAACATTTGGATGATAGCAAAGAAATACTGAAAGTGTCTATGGAGATTCTCAACCATTCAGGTCATCGTTGTCCCAAAGGTGCTTTTTCAACAGGCAACTGGACTTTCTGGTTTTTCTTTGAAGATGTTTAGTTTCAATGAGAAACCTCACCTTTAGGACAAGTACTGAAAGTAACCAACCCTAGCAGAAAGCTAAAAGACAAATAAGAAAGAGAAGTTGCTTTCAGTTGGATAGGAGAAAAAAAAGGTGTCCCCAAAAGCTCAAATTAGTGGCCTTTTATTCAAAACTTTGTTCAAACTACACATAATTTTGTTGGTGAGTCTCACTAGAAAATTTACAGTACTGTGCAAAAGTTGTAGGCAGTGAAAAATGCTGTAAACAAAGAATGCTTTCAGAAATATAAATAATGATTGTTTATTTTTGTCAATTTTCANGAAGCAATACAGCTGGCTGGACTACACATGCATTAAATTCAAGGGCTGTTTGATCAAATGTCAGCAAACTTTCCGGTAAGGTTGTACAATAGTTACCTTTGACACATTTGGGGATGTCAGGAACCCACGAGCTGTTCTCCCCACATTTAATATGGAGGCTTCCCACAGCAGAATAGCCAGGATTACATTCAAAGCTGATAACATCATTATAGGTATATGAAGGCTTAGATGAATTAACTAATTTCCCATTTTCCACTTTTGGTAGATCACACTTGACATCTGAAAAGAGAAAGCAGCATTTAAACAAAACCAGCTCAGAACAACAGCCTATAAATAAAAACAACCAAGAGCTGCTCTTGGCTAATAAGTATATACAACGAGCATTTGCTTTTATTTTTCTTTCTTCTATTAGTATCAGATATTAAGCTTCTACAAGATAATATTTGGTTAATCTTTTATTCCATTTGTGTTTTTTGGCATTTGTCTTCAAACCATCAAATCCAGAGTTTTCTTTACTACAGGTAGTTCTCGCTTTATGACCATAATTGAGCTCAAATTTTCTGTTGCTATGTAAGAAGTTTGTTAGCAGAATTTTGTCTCATTTTTCGACTTTTCTTACCAAAGTGGTTAAATGAATTGCTGTAGTTTTTAAATTAATAACACCATTGTTAAGTGAATATGGCTTCCTCGTTGACTTTGCTTGTCAGAAGGTCACAAAAAGGTATCACGTGACCATGGGACACTGCAGCCATAATAAATACGTGTCATTTTCAAGGAACAAAATTGGAACCATGTGACCATAGGAATGTTGCAACAGTCATAAGTGTGAAAAAATGGTCATAAGTCACTTTTTCACAGCCATTGCAACTTATTGCTGCAGAAATTGGAAATCTCAATCATTTTGTAACAATGACAAAAAGAGAGGAGTTCAATTTAAAACATTGTTCATAATGAATTTGAATGTTATTGTCTATAATTTTTTTACAATGTTCAACTCTAGCATTTCTGATAACTATGTTATGAATTCAACTCTACGTTTAGGCTAGTGATGCCGAACCTTTTCGGCACCAAGTGCCAAAAAGTATCGTGGAAATGGCGTGAGCATGCACGCTCCTTGGGGCCATACTCCAGAAAAGCCGAACTTCAAGGTACTACCGTGCATGCCGGCCAGACGATCAGCTGGCGGTCGCGCATGTGCACAGTGGTCTTTGGCACTGCCGTGTGCGCGAAGGACACCTGATCTTTGAATGCACATATTTGCCAGAAACCCAGAAGAGAAACAGTGAAGACCATGTGGTCTGGGCAACATGGCTTCACGTGCCACTTCAGGCAAGTGCGCCATAGGTTGGCCGTCACGGATTTCGGCCATCTCCTGCAATCGTGCAAGTAATCATTGACTTTCTAAACATGGGAAATCAGTTTGATACATTACTACTCTTCCATAATAATATTTGTAATCAGGGAGAAATCACTCTGGCAGTGGTAGATTACAACTGATCCAATGTAATATTCGTCTTTAGGGTCAGCATCAAAATATCCATTGACAATCGGTTTAGAACGATTACAAGCGATAATTGAGGGAGAGAGAATTATTTACCTGAAGTCCCATTTTAACTAGAATTACAGTTACACTTTGGCAGTGGAAGAATATTCAGGCTGTTTGAAGGGGTTACTACACTAAAGGGAAGTTAATAAACATAGAAATGTTCTCCACCACCTAGTATTTAATAAATACATTAAATATATATTGGGTATTTAATAAATAAATCACTACAGCATCACCCTTAAATAAACAAATAAATCAAATTACTGCAGAAAATGTAATAGATTTGAACTTTTGCATTTCATCGCATGGTGCTTTATGCTTTATCTCATGCTGATATTATAATTCAGGTTTGGAATGAAGTTGTAATAAGTGAGTGTGCCAAATCACCCCTGGACAGTGACCACTGGTTATGGAATAAACTTCAGAGGCGGCCTCCCTCTTTCTGCTTTCCAAGATCTCATCTCGTATTTCAGTCTCTTCCAGTAAATAAATTTAACTAAATGGGATCCTAATCTGTGACTATGAACAAGACAGTCAAATACCACATTCTGCAAGGGCCAATCTAACCAATTCAGAAGGAGGAATGAGTGTGTAGAAAGACTGTTCTTTCATGATCAAAATGGTTTGTGTACAGATTTCTCTTTCAAAGAAACTGATTTATTACCATTTAACTAAAAGAGTTGTATGCAGTGGTGGGATTCAAATAATTTAACAAGCGGTTCTCTGCCCTAATGACTGGCTGGTATGTGTGGCTGGGTATTCATGTGACTGAGTGGGTGTGGCCAACTCAACATCACTCATGTCAGAGGTGGGTTGCTATCAGTTCGCATTGGAACAGGCAAAGTGATAGAGGAATGCTGGCTGGAGACGCAGAACCGGCAGTGACTCAGGCTGGCCACACCTCCGAACCGGTTTCCGTTCGCTGGTGCCATAGCCTGCATGTTTTTTTGTCCTTTTTAAATTTTCTGCACATGCACAGAACTATTTAGAGGCAACTGCACACGTGCGCACAATACGCATCAGGCATGCGTGCACACGAAACGAACCGGCAGTAACACTAGCAACAACCCACCCCTGACTCATTTCAAAGGGCCCCTGGCCTTGCCTGGCCTTTCCTTACCCAAACTCTCACGCCTCACACCTCCCCTCCCAGCCACTCCTTATTACGCCCAGCCACTCGCCACAATAAAAATAAAAAGAATGCTGGCCTTGTGCAAATAAATAACAAACATCTTGACCAGGTTTGATGCATCTTGCAAAGTATTTCTGCTCATTCTAGTCTCCTTTCCTACTAGCACGTCCATCTCAGATTGTAATTTGCTACAACCTCTCATGTTTTGCATCATTCCTTGGGAGATTATTCTGAAATGTTATCTGTGATATTTGCAGCTTTACAAACGCGTTTCCTCCAACCCTGTTTTCACATGCAATTCTTACAAGTTATTTTGACATCCTTTCCACTTTTAAACAAAGTAGTGGTTAAGGTGCTGGCCTAGAACCCAAGTGGCTCTGAGTTGTAGTCCCATTTTGGCCTTGAAAAAATGGCCGAGTGACCAGTCAGCCTCTCCCAGCCCAAACCACTGCTTAGATTGTGGTTGTGGGAAAACTAAGAGGAGGAATGAATATTAGATAAGTTCTCCATCTTGAGTTCCTTATAAAGTAATAAAGATATGATAAACATCTACCAAAATAAATAAATCATTTGTGAGAATGATGTCCTTTTAAAAGGAGAAAGGGTGCTGACGGCCTCATCACACGCCTTACATTACAGAATTTATTTCGTTTTCACTTTATTTTTCTCTACTTTTGGGTTTATTCTTCAATGATGGCATAGCCTGTGAAATTCTTCTGTCTCGCATGTTAGGGTTATGTGGGAAAACATCAGGTAAACACTTCCATGAGACTGACCGGCAATGGCAGCAGAAATACTAAGCAGCTACGTTAGGACAGAAAGGAGACACCAGGTTGCAAAAAGCAGAGGATCTCACGGAGAAGAGAGCTGAGACATTCACCTTTCATCAAACTGGCACAGCCTAGTCAACTACAGAAAGGTAGGAAAGTCATCCATGCCTCTTTTATGTGCTATTTCCATTGGAAATTTTGAGATTGTTTCAAACTGACAGTGCAAAAATTGCCCCAGCTCTACAATACTGGTGATCTTTTTAATGATATTTCACTTTTTACCTAGAGAAGGGCTGACAGGATTTAAAAAGCAAAATCAACCATGCCCTTTTTCCCGTTTCATCAATTTTCCAATAGCACAATAAAATAGCACTGTTCCAATATTTGAGGGGCTCCTGCAGAAATGAGGGAGTCAATCTATTTTCCAAAACATTAAAAGGCACAACAAGAAACAATGGATTAAAACTAACTTCAGCAACCTAGAACAAAGGAGAAATTTACTAAGGGTGAGAGCAACCAATGGAATAGCTTGCATACAGAAGTTCTGGGTGCTCCATCACTGGAGGCTTTTAAAAAGAGATGAGACAACTATTTGTCTGAAATGATATAGGGTCTCCTGCTCGAGCAGGAGGTTGGAATAGAAGAACTCTGAGCTTCCTACCAACTCTTATTATTCTATATTCCCTATGTTCTAAATTTGGTGTTTCATAGCAGAAGCAATACAACTGGCTGGACCACACATGCATTGAATTCAAGGGCTGTATCATCAAATGTCAGCAAACTCTCCTGTAAGGCTGTACAATAGTTACCTTTGACACATTTGGGGACATCAGGAACCCACAAACTATTAGCCCCACATTTAATATGGAGGCTTCCCACAGCGAAATAGCCAGAATTACATTCAAAGGTGATGCTATCATTATAGGCATATGAAGGCTTAGATGAATTAACTAATTTCCCATTTTCCACTTTTGGTAGATCACACTTGACGTCTGAAAAGAGAAAGCAGCATTTAAACAAAACCAGCTCAGAACAACAGCCTATAAATAAAAAAAAACCAAGAGCAGCTCTTGGCTAATAAGGATATACAATGAGCATTTGCTTTATTTTTCTTTCTTCTATTAGTATCGAATATTAAGCCTCTACAAGATAATATTTGGTTAATCTTTTATTCTATTTGTATTTGTGTTTTTTGGCGTTTGTTTTCAAACCATCAAATCCAGAGTTTTCTTTACTACAGGTAGTCTGGGTGCTCCATCACTAGAGGCTTTCAAAAAGAGATGGGACAACTATTTGTCTGAAATGATATAGCGTCTCCTGCTCGAGCAGGAGGTTGGAATAGAAGAACTCTGAGGTTCCTTCCAACTCTATTATTCTATATTCTCTCTACTCTAAATTGGGTGTTTCATAGCAGAAGCAATATAGCTGGCTGGATCAGACCTGCATTTAATTCAGGCCCTGTATAATGAAGCTGCATCATTATTCCACCCTGTATCTTTTCCCCCCAGGAAGAAACAACAATGCAGCAGTTATAAAAGGTCTTGGGGAATTCCAGAAAGTACCAGCTGATGACAGATGTGTTACTTAACACCCTTTATAATGAAAATGTTTGCAATCTTGTCCTTCTTCCTGAAGGGAAGAGGTTAATCCCATCCCTAAATGGGTCATTGTTGGGTTTTCTGGGTGTTTCCCTGCTCTAATCCTAATCAGTTTCTATTGTTTATTCAACTTGTGTGTCAGCTGCATTCCTGCAGTTCTGTTTTCTCAACTATTTGCCCATTAAGTAGTTTTTGGCTGTCTGCTCGGAGCTATTAACTGAAGGGAGAGAGGAGGAGAAGAAAAAAACCTCACTTGCACTTTATTTTCAGCTGGTTCGCCGAACGGCCAATACGTTAGCTACTAGTTCAGCTGAACTGGTGCGAACCGGCTTAATCCCACCACTGGTTGTATGTGGAACAACTTTCCTATTCAAGGAAAGACTAGGAGCAAATCAAGTCCAATTTGGCATGGAAAGCTTTACAGATATAAGAGTATTTCCAATAGCTCCTAAACCCTGAGCACCTATTGTTAGAGTTTCTTGTCATGTGAATGAACAGTGTGATCAATATAATTCTACTTGTAAGAAAAGAGTGACTAGAAGAGGCAATAACTAGAGAAAGAGAAAACGATGATTCAGGTTATTCGGGCAGAATGTTCCGTTTTAAATGTCAGCAAACTCTCCTGTAAGGCTGTACAATAGTTACCTTTGACACATTTGGGGATGCCAGGAACCCACAAGCTGTTCTCCCCACATTTAATATGGAGGCTTCCCACAGCAGAATAGCCAGAATTACATTCAAAGCTGATAACATCATTATAGGTATATGAAGGCTTAGATGAATTAACTAATTGCCCATTTTCCACATTTGGTCGATAACACTTGACNTTTTGGGCTCGCAACCAGCAACAGCCAGTACTGATAAAAATATTTCCTTTGAAGCTGTGTGTGGCTGTCGTTTCTGAACAAGCAAGGAGGGGGGTCAGAACAGGTTTCTATTGTTAAGCCAAGTGGTGGTGAAATGAGTCCTGCCTGATTTTTATGATCTTTTTTTCCCCATGAATCAGTGCAGTTATTAAGTGAAACAGGCAGTTGTAAAGTGAATCCAGCTTCCCCCGTTGACTTGCTGGTTAGAAGCCAGCTGGGAAGATGGCAAATGGCGATGTGATCATGATCCTGGGACACTCCTAACTTTCATAAATACATACTGACTGGCAAGCACCCAGATGTTGCCTTGGGGGACCTCGGGGATGATGCAACGGTAGTGAGAGGGACAGTTGCAGAGCAACTTTTTTCAATGCCATTGTAACTTAGAACGGTCACTAGATAAGTAATCCTCGACTTAAGACCACAATTGAGCCAAAATTTACATTGGTAAATGAGAAATGTGTTTTGTGATTTTTCTTGCCACATTGGTTAAGTGAACTTGAACTGAACTTTACCTTTGAAAGAAATGTCCAGAGTCATTCTGTTTACTTTTTAACATAGCTATTATATCCTTGGGCTTTGCTCTTGCTGTACAATAAAGTCTGTGTGAACATAGGGACTTAAATAATTCTTAAATAAACAGTGTGGCAATTTGGAGACAGCCTGGACTTGCTGATCTTACTTCAGGCTTTGCATAACTTTGTATTGTTTGTCAGTTATGCCTCCTTTTTGGACCAGTAAATCCTGCTGAATCACTCTTGCTCTTTTGACCTACAGATTGGTCTGTATTATTTCATTTTATTTTACTAGATGTATACCAAATAAATGTTTCATCAGATTAAATGGGAACTATATCTTGTTCAAAGATATACTTATTTCCTTTCTTTTCTTGTAATTTTTATTTTATTGAAAAGATTGAAATACAACATCCAAAAGAAGAAAATTAACAGAGGGAAAATTAGACAAATACATTAAAAAGTGTGGATTAAAAGAACACTTTATTATTGCTCTAGTTGAGCACTGACAAAATCTATTACATAGCTTCCTCCCTTGCAAAGCAGATGCAAAATTTGAGCTTCTATAACTATTTTCAGCTCAATTGACCTCTTATACATTATATATGAAAGCAAAAAATAGTAATGAAATGTTGTTTTAGCTTTTTAATTGGGAACTTTCCCAACAATTGCATCTCATTTCCAAAGTTCATAAGTCTCTATTGTAAATATCTCTGCAACATCCATTGTTGAATAATTCTCCTTGAGCATTCCTCTCGCCAAGAAAATTTCATCCTTCATCTATTCCATTATCTCAAAATTTCTTATATTCGTATTCTTTTCCATCTTTTCTGGTAGATCTACATTTTTCACACCAAATACTTTCTTCTTTATGTCAGATTAATTTTGTAAGATTGGGTAAGTAAGATTTGATATTGATAATTATGTATATCTAAGAAATGAATTTTGTGGTAAAATGTATTTTGATGAGATAAAAGTATATACAAATGTAAGATGCATATGTCTTTGAGGTGGAATTTTTTTGTAATAATGACTCAATCAAATGGAGGAAATATGGGACTTTTTTCTTTTGCTATGGCTATATTAGTAAGGAAAAATATTTCATTAAATATTTGTATCTGGATTAAATAAGTTGGAGGCCTTTCCTCACTTTCCCCCTTCCTTTTTCTTTTTTTTCACTTTTTAACCTTTTCACCTTTTGAATCCCCCCACTTTTTAATAGTTATTTCGTGTTTAATTCTTCTTGAAATTTAATAAAGTATTTTAAAAAATATGGAATCTGTGTGGTAACCCTTGCATAACACTTGCAATAAATTATTCTTAGTACAACTTTCTTAACAAGCTGCTGTTTGTGGAATAAAATAGGGGTGACCCCATATATTCTTGCTTTCAGAAAAAAATATGGAATATAAATGCAATAAACAAACCAACAGATAAATGGTTTTTAGGAGTTTGTATTTTATGTTTAGGAATGAAATGAAATAAATTAATCAAGCAGGCACCCAATATAATCAAATAAAATTTTGATAGATTTTCCATATGTTCAGTGTCATGACTTCACCAGCAATTATACAGAACAGCCAGGAGGATGATCAGTTTTCCTAGGAAAAAGTGGTAATAAATAATTCAAAACCTTTTACTTGAAGCAAGAATGAAGCAGGAGTTTCATACAACATTCAGTACCATTTTTTACCTCATAGGACCATGATCGTGAACCTACGGCACATGTGCCGGAGGTAGCACCCAGTGCCTTCTCTGAAGTTATGTGCACCGTCACCAGCTACTCTTCTGGTTTCCAGCATGCCAGCCATCTGGTGTTTGCGAGCACCAGAGCACTAGAAAACAGCCTGAAAATGGCGTGGCATTTTCCGACCATTTTTCAGGCTGTTTTCAGGCCATTGGGGGGGGCAGCATTTTTGGCCTGAAAAATGGTCCCAAAATGGCCCGGAAAGTGGCCTGGAAAATGGCCTGGAAATCAGCCTGACCATGACCGGGAAAATGGCCTAAAAACAGTCTGAAAACAGCTAGAAAAATGGCTAGAAAAACAGGCATTTCCGGTGCCCCAAAGCACTGGAAACCCAAAGACCAGCTGGTCTTTGGGTTTCTGGTGCTCTGGTGCAGGCACATGCATGGGTGTTCTGGCTTGAGCACTTGGTGCCAAAAAGGTTCACCATCACTGTCATAGAATAAGTGATTCCTAAAGTTTGGAGGAGGAGGAGTTGTATCAATGTGTATGTTTTATAAACCACAAAATAGATCTGAGTCTAGTAGAGATAGTCTGGGAAAAATGCCATGTATGTGCTTGCTGTTTTTCTTTCCATTAGACATTTCGACTTTTCCAATAAGAATAATAGAGTAAGATTACTAAGAAGAAAGAATTCTGTGAGTCTCTTTAAATCTTCTGCTATCATTCATATTTACTTTTGTTTATTTAATATTAAACTTCTATGCCATCCATCTCACCAAGGAGATACTAGGTGACTTAGGCCTCTCATTTTCTTTTCCAAACAGGTATAAAAGGGTAGGATTGCCAAAAGCAATATCTCTGCTTGTTTTAAAGCCTTGTGGATTTATAAGGAAGATTTTAAGATTTGTGTATGTTGATGAACATAAATGAAACATGGGTTTTATTTAGAGTATCTCATATAAACATCCTGGGACAGAGAAAACATTTTCAATGTAACTGAGATGATGCCTATGTACTCTTCATAAGATTTCATTTTTAGATCCTCTATCCCTATTCCGGGTTTCCCTAAACTTTATAAACTGTGATGCCCAAGATTTACCACAGTAATCCAAATGCAATTTGATCAGCACATATATAGTGGAACTATTACTTCCTGTGAATCTGGACATAAAGGTTAATGCAGCCCAAGAATTTGTTGACCTTAGCAGTTGTTGCATCATATGGCTTGCTCATATTGAATGTTTTATTAGAATCCCTAGATCTTTCTCGCAGGGTCTATGACAATTCGCCGTGGCCAACTCGCCACAGGACAACTCACTAGAGTTGTAACTAGAGTTACACTAATATCAATTAAATGGTGGAATAGAATCATTAAAGAAAAGATGCAAAAGAAGGGACAGAATGAAATGTGAATGGCAAAAATTAAAATAATTTTTATTTATTTGAAATAATTAAATAGAATTGCTAAATTGTCCCACAGCGAGTTGTCCTGCAGCAAGTTGGCTGTGATAAGTTGGTTGTGGTGAGTTTGCCATGGCATGTTGGCCGCAGCAAGTTGGCTGTGGCAAATTGTCCTGTTCCCCTTCTCACATTCAGTGCTTCCCTGCCAGGTCTCCCGTGTCCTACACAGTATTCATGTCTATTATTTTTCCTGCCTAGATCCAGAACATTAATTTATAACCCCTGAACATCATCCTGTTGAATATGATTCAGTGTTCAATTTTATTCAGGTTATTTTGAGTTGTTACCCCTCTATCGAAAGTAGCTCAAGAACAAAGGCTTCTTCAAGAAATCAGGTAATATGTATGGCAGAAATCATAGAAACGCCTCTTCTGAATGAGCAGAAATATTTTCTTTTCACATTAATGTCCTTGTGGTAACATACTTTTTAATATTTGATTTCATGATCAATATCTTTGTTTCTCAGGTATGGCCAGAATAAGTGCAGGATTTTGTCTATTTCATTTCTATTACATGATCTGCAGTAATATTGGGTTCTTGGGAGTTTTGACTTCATTGTGAGCTAGGATTCTGATAATGAGTTTTTGCACATCTAAATAAGTCAATCAATTTTCACTACCAGGATTCCATTCACATGAAGGCCTTTATATGTATTTGAAGGTTCTCCAATACACTGAATTACACTGCCTTTGTTGGATGCATTAGTTCACTAGCTGATAAAGATTCAGGAAATTGTTAGTAAGAGAGCTGTAAAGCTTTCCATCAATTGCAAAGCAGTTCAGTTCCTCACCACTTCATTGAACAGCCAATAAGAAAAAAATGAATTTTTGTCCAAGATGATTTAGGGGTAAAGTATGAAAAATATTTGAGCTGCTGAAATTCTTGTATTCTTAAAAAGTTTAAATGAAATTTCTGTGAGAAGTTAGAAAAAGATACTCTTAATTAAGACAGCTGCTAAAATCTAAATCCAGTGACAACTCCAACATATCAACACTAAAGAGAGAAAGAAAAGTTTATCACACTCAAAATGTTGAGTTTTACATTACTGAACCTTAAGTGTTCCAATTCCACTGTAATATAGTGTTTAGCCCAGTTACACTGAAATTGGGAAAATTAAAGTTCAAGATCTCACTTGTATATAGAATTCACTATTTAGGCTTTGGGCAGTCAGAATACATCATGACAAGCTACCATGTATGAATTATGAACAGATTGTAAATAAATATTCATCATTCATGAAAACAGAATATCACTGTCTACACTTTGAAATATCTCAGCATGTAATTACTTACCAAGTGCTGTAGTTTTGTGGTATTCTAAAACAGAAAAAAGAGGAACAAAAATGAGCTAAACTTTTGAGCCTCATTGGAATCAACATTTACTTTCTCTTTCTAGTTTATTTAAAATATTGTTATCATTTGTTACTAAATAGTAGAGAGTCTAGTGTGGTGAGTAAAGTGCTAGATTATGAATTTCAATATGTGAACTAAAATGGGTACAGTGCACAAAAAAAGGAACCTGAAATAAATCTCGACAAATACTAGGAGCAACATCAAATTACAACCAGCACTGTTGAAAGCTTTGATCTGAAGCTTACTTTTTTTTTTCCTAAATTGATCTCCATTTGGGAAGGACTCATTTTAGAACAGCCACTTTGCCCAACAGATAGAAATATGGTGCTGAATATGAAAAATGGACTTTGTTGTGTCTATGTTGTTTAGAAGGATAAAATTGTACAACTCTTTTCATATAAACATTGATGAAAATGCCATTTTTGTTTTTTCTTTCTTAAGTCTTTTATTAAGAACTGCCACAGTTTTCACTATTTGAAAAGAAACCATCTTGCTGGTACAAGTGCAGTAGCTAACCTCAGACTATTTCAGCCTTACCTGCATAATCTTTTGTTGTAGTATTTGGCTTGTCTGTAGTACTATTTGTATTGCCAACATTTCCTGTTTGAAAGAAAATGTTAATAAAATAAAATTCAGAACACAGCCCAGAGGGGTGAGAAGGAATTATTTTTAGCAATATATAAAGAAATATGTAGCTGCTTTCTTGCACCGTTTTTCCTTTCTTTTTTCTTTTTAGTTTATATTATTTTTTATTGTTCTGTTTAAAACTTTTAATAAAAGCATTATGAAAAATATTTTAACTCTGAGCAAATGAGAGCCAAATACATTCTTTCTAAACAAAAAGCCTACCTTTTAATATAAATCTGCATAAATAAATAAATAAACAAACAAACAAATAAATAAATAAATACTATGATGAGTTCTTCTCAATATTGAGCTCAAAGAAAAATGTTTCCACCTAGTGAACTTCCATATTAGGTTACAAATATAAGCTGGTAAACTTGCTTTTATATTAAAAAAATAGATAAAATACAGTTTAAAAAATATTACAGATAACAGACACATCATGCATAAAAAGGCAATTTTAACTGCAAAAGTTGTGTACAAGAGTGAAAGCTATATTAATAATGGAGGGATAAAAATAATTAATAATTATTGATGTTCAATATATAGTAGGATCATAAATGCTCTAGTCTCAAAAAATTAATATCAAGACTGAAAAAACAAGCCTGTAAGAACAATACATAGAAATAATATCCTGTCATTTTGCCAAAGATTTAGCTTCCCAGTAATTGGCTGCTTTTCAGTTAATTGAAGCCTACATGTTTTTGTTTTATTTCTTTTTGGGGGTCATAGACTGTAATTTGGACTGCATTTTTTTTTTAAAGGGGCATGGAGGGTGAACATTGTTAAATAGAAAACATTCGCTAGAATATATTGTTACCCACCCATATTCCACTATATACTACAAGCTACTATAGTATTCCTTATTTTTATTTATTTTAAAAAAAATTATATCACTGCCTACTCACTCACATGACTCTAGGAAATTTATAAACAATAAAAGACAGAAATATATCTATCTGTCTGTCTGTTCATCTATCTATCTATCTATCTATCTATCTATCTATCTATCTATCTATCTATCTATCTATCTATCTATTCCCCCCCCCCCCGGCCCGGTAATAACACATGGTTAAATAAGCAATTTGATGGGCTCCATCACAATCCAGGTACCTCTGGCCAGTTGGCAAAACCAAGCATTCAGGGACTTAGGAAAGACTGACAAAGTGGGGGGGGGGGTCTAATTTCTGCAGGGACAATGTTCCAAAGGGTGGAAGCCATTACAGAGAAAGCCCTTATTCTGAGTCCCAACAGATGTACATCCTATGGGGACGGGACCAGCCAACTTGGAAAAGACCCTGGAGAATACAATGCAGGAGTTCATTACAAAGAATACCCCACTTGGGTTTCCCACTGATCTGTTTGAAGAGCAAGAAGATGTTAAAGAACTAGAGTTACAGGAGAAAAGTTGGTGTCACCTCTTCCATTCCCTTTCCAAACACTAGAATGTATGAAAAGGAATTAAAATCTTATGGACTATACTACATTGGACTAGATTCCTTTTTGCTGCATCTGCTATCCTTTTGTCTTAATCAGGAGGACTCTGATGGGACTATTTCTACATAATACATTTTTATTGAAAGAGATACACTTTTGTGAACTCAGCTCACTTCACCACATGCATTTTTTGTTTCAATTAGTATCATGAATGTCCCAGCAGCATGGCTGCAATATATTAAGGCATAGCTGAGATTGTTCTTTGTTTGGTTTCTCTCCCACCCCCCACCTCCCAGATAAGCATTAGAAAAGGAAGTGCTTGCAGGTCACTCATTGGGTGGCAACACTAGTTGAGGGCACGTCTACTATAAGATGTAAGAAAGAGAATGATGTTGGTTCTTCTTTGCTGTCCTCTGGTTTTATTTTTTCACAAATGGGATACGGAAACACCTCTCTGCAAACCCTCTTCCAAAATTGCTGGATATATTTAAATTCCAATTTGTTCTGATCTTTCACATTTATGTTCTTAGTCAGATTGTAGTCCTTAATTTATTTATTTTTAAACCCACCATTTCTCCTACAGGAATGAGGGGGTCAATCTTTTCCAAAGCATCAAAAGGCACATAAAGAAACAATGGAGGGAAACTAACGAAAGGGAGACACAACATAGAACTAAGGAGAAATTTGCCAACAGTGAGACAAATCAACCAATGGAATAGCTTGCATATAGAAGTTCTAGGTGATCCATCACTAGAGGCTTTCAAAAAGAGATGGGACAACTATTTGTCTGAAATGATATAGGGTCTCCTGCTTGAGCAGAGTGTTCGTCTAGAAGACCTCTAAGGTCCCTTCCAACTCTATTATTCTATGTTCTCTATACACTAAATTGTGTGCTTCACAGCAGAAGCAATACAGCTGGCTGGACTACACATGCATTAAATTCAAGGGCTGTTTGATCAAATGTCAGCAAACT